ATAATTTAAGAGGCAGATTTTAACAGGCCCGGCTCCAAGGCAAGGAGTCATCATCTATTTTTCCGGTTGCAAGCCACAAGAAACATAATGCATTAAAAAGTCATCAGCGGCTGTTGCAAAGGACTGCTGCAATCCCCTGCCCAGCCATCACCATGCGGTATCGCATTCTTAAAAAGGCTTCCTCTGTCCCTGGCACCGACTGAGTGCCTCTTTATAAATATTTGGAATAAATGAATAAACTGTTGAAATTCCCCAGAAGGGGAAGGAAACATTTCTGTGAGCAACGTGGGGCAAGCATGAGTCATCAGGTAAAACTTCTAGGAGACTTGCGCACCCACAGATGGCTGGTAAATATCTAAATCAGGAAATCGCCTCAGAAAAATGGTAAGAGATTTATTTTATCGATAGATAGCAAAGAAAGAAAGACAGACATACAGAAAAGAAAATCTCTCAAAATATCAACCAGTTTATCAAAAAGTTAAAGCACAATAAAATGTGGAGGTCATGGGCTCCACTGAAAACCCTCCTGTGAAACAAAATGAAAGCACAAACGTTAATTCTGATATGTACACTTGCAAAAAGGATCTGCAAGAAAGAAAAATAAAAAACCAAATGTAAAATAAAATGAGACTGAGTAATCTGAACATTGGGAAAGTAAAGCAACATGCACATAAAATAAGTATGCCTCGTCATCTGCTGCTTTCCATGGCCCAAAGCTTTATGAAACACAGTGCTTGCTTGGCTTGGATTTGGAAAAACATGGTGTGCCTAAACTATTTTTTTGAAATACAGATACGCCTAGAAAAACACTCTAAAAATTCAGCAGTTCTGGGAATATGCGGACCAAGAAAAAAGAAAACTGCGCTAAGAGGAATCGCCTTGCCAAGCAGAGAGCGAGTGCAGGGCTTGCCAATTGTATAATGCGTGATTGAAGGCGACAGCACTTGCAGATATTTTAGGGAGCACCAGATCATAAACGAGTGGCAGCTTGGAGGAATTCCCAGAAAACAAGCAGCGATTGCATGAATAAATTGCCAGGCATTTTAGTGGTGCAAAAGGTGACATCTGAGGAAGAACTAGCTGAAGGTTGCAACAACATGTGGCTACTGCTTACAACTCTTCGGTAAGAAGCAGCAGAGCTTGGGATGGGCTGCATATCTGGAGCTGCACATCTGGAGTCATCACGTACACAGTGCCAGAGCTACAGCAGCAGCCCTAGCTCACCGCAGGGCAAATCCACTGTGGCTTCATTGAGCCATCACCCAGGAAAGTGCCAGCAAAAGTGGGACCGGAGAAAATTGCTGGTGCTGCCAGCTGCCGTACTGTGCCTGAGCAGCACCTACCTGGCCACTCCCTGCCCTGCCTCCACCAACATCGTGGAGGTCAGAACAAATCTCCAGGCTTTGAGCGAAACCAAGCCTGCCCAAACCCTGTGGCACACGGCAGTCCCACTCACGAGTGGTTTTTAGTTGTCAGTAAACCAGGAAGGGTGGAGATCGGGCAGATCGCAGGCAGGTATACCTGCAGAGGGGCAAGTAGGAAGGGGAGTTTTCTGAGGTTAGGGACACGGGAGCGTGGCATGAGTTATGTCCCACCTTCTTCCCTGGCTCCTTTTGAGGACCGGGCAGGGAAACCTCTCCCAGGTGGATCTCAGGCAGGGGCCCTCCTTCAGCCCTTCTTCCCACTGCTTCCCCGTCTCCCTCCCTTTCCTCCTCTGGCTGTGCTGAGCTGCTCATGTCGCCGCTGTAAATCTAAAAACTGCCCAGCAGGCTGGACTGGTGGCTCAAGGCACACTGCCACGTGGCTGCACCCCTGAGGGAAGAAGGAAGAGGAGGAGGTGATGGCCCTGGTGTCACACTGCTGGCATGGCTCAGCACGCTGGCATGGGAGCTGGTACCATGACAGGCTGCAGTGGTCTCCAAAACAGGATGAGACCCCTGCATCCAACAGGGCTGTGCTGGGATGTCTGCTCAGACAGACCCACGCAGGAGGCCAGCATCCACGTGTGGCCCTAGCCACAGCGGGAGCTGCTTGGCCACGTCTTCGGGCCGAGTCTCATTTACATCTGGGCTTTGGGGAAGGAATCTGAAATCTCTCCTGAAGCACATAAGCAGCAGCTTTCATTTGCCAACACCACAGAGATACTTAGCAGGACCATCTAGCTAGTAACACCATTTAGTTAGCAACACCCATGAAGCCCACCAAAAAGCCATGGATGCTTGTGTCCTTCACTCAGGGAACCAAAGCAGAGCAGCATCGGAGGCCTCTTCTCCAAGTTCAGCCAAAAGTGGCCAATAGAAGTTCAAAACTCTGTAGGGAGGGACAGATGGACGGACACACACACATAAACCATCTCAGTAGGAAGGCATGGCTCTGCTCAAGGGGGAAATCTCTTCTCCATGCCCCAGTACCAGCTGGGGATTAGAGCAGTCTGGGGAACTGCAGCATCCTCTTCCCCTGCCCACGTCAAACCTCGTGAAGCAGAAATGATTTCACTGCCCAGTGACACTCCTGTGCCCTTACCAAGGGCCAAGCAGATTGTGGTCCTCAAAACGCTCAGCTTGCTTTCCTCATTTTGCACCGTAGTTTACAAAGATCCACCAAGAAGAAAACCAGGAGCATTAGACATTCAGGAGAGGGAGGATTAGGAAGAGAGAGAAGTGGCCACCCATAGAAATGTGTCCCTTTTTAACTTCACACCTCTACTAGGAAAGCATCTAATGATTTCTTAAATCACCCTGATGTTTTTTGCCTCAGCCTGGTTAGCCATTTCACGTATTTATTATTCTTTGCATTAAATAATACTTCCTGACATCTGTTCCCAGTTTCTTTTTCTTTAATTTCCATTTATAGCACATTTTCCTATCCTCTGACCATGTTAAAATAAAACAATAAGCATGTTTGACACGACGCAAGTTACTTAAGATCATGATCCTTCCCTGATCTTTTTTTTTTTTAAACATGCTCTAAATTGCAGAAAAACATTTCAATGAACTGTGACGAAAAGCAAGCGGAAAGCTCAGAGAATCAGCAACCACTCAGCATTTCACACCCGCGCTGGCAGCCGCTTACCCGGGGACCGGCGTGAGGATTGTTGGTGGTTACAGTCCAGTTCCACTCTGACATCTGTCAGCTGGAGGCAGATGGGGAAAGTGAGGAGCTGTGGGCTGTGCAGTCCCTCCACAAGATGGAGGGGAGAACCAGGCAGCCGTAAGGGACGAGGTGCCAGTGGGACGGGCAAGGGAAAAGAAATGTTAATTCCTAATGCAGTGACACAAATTGGCTTGAGTGATGCTTTCGCTTTTGACCAGGCAGGTGGGAAAAGGTGCCCTTCCCTTGCTCTGAAGAGACAGTTTGCTTCCAAGTACAATCTGGCAACTCCACAAGCAATAAATTCACAAGGAGAAGCAATAACGAGTACTTTAGTTATGGCACAAGAACATTTTATGCTGTCATCTCTATCTTGGTACAAGTCCTCAATATAATTTTAGCTCAGGAGGAGGTTGCTTATGAAGTGAAAATAAAATGGAAAGAATCAATGTAGCCTCCAACCAAATGTGTGTGCACACCTTCCAGTTAAGTAACAAAGCAAAACAGCAAGCGGGTATCATCTCCAGCTGGTCCGTCACAATTTTATGGACTGTAACGCAGTTCTCCAGTAGGGACCATCATGCTCCATACAAGCATTAGCCTGCTCAGAACAGCCCCTCCAGGTCCTCCTGCTCTGATAAGCCAGTAAGTATGGTTACACACCCTGCTGTGACGAGGTCGACAAGGCTGCACCCCCGAACGGAAACATCTGAAACGGAAACCATTTCTGCTCAGCCCTCTTTAGCTGGAAGCATAGTGGTTGCTCTGCAGTTTCGCGCTATGGCAGAGAGATGTGGGTGCCAGCGACAGCCGAGAGCCACAGCAACCCGGGCAGTTCAGATCGTGGTGCCCTGTTCGTACTTCATCTGCCTCTGGAAGCTTTCTTCACTTCTGTTTTATTGATAGTGCTTGAACCTGCCAGGCTGCCAAGGATGCTTTTACTTTTACCCAAAGTCCATGCTGAACAAGCACACAGTAGAAAACCTGGGTTTAACCTGGTGCTTTTTTGAGGTCAAGACAAACTTCATGACAAACAGGACTAAGAGCAGCCAAGTTAAACTGTGCCCTGACAAAGCCCTGTCCTCTGAAACGCACCACACAGCTCAGTGCCAGTGCTGCACCACTGCAGCTCAAGAAGGCTGATGAGGGTGGCTGGCCTTCAGGGAAGCAGGTCAGAAGTGGCTCTGAAGGCTTGCTCAGCACACACTGGAGGGCTTCTCCTTTTGGGAAACCAGCATCACCTCCCACCGCCCAAGAGATGCTCCCCTGATTGTCCCCTGGCTCCGCACAGCGTCGGGTAGGTGTGACTGAATGGACCAGCAAGGTTGGCCACCTCATCACACCTTGGGAACCATTGAATCTACAGCAGCATAGAGCCTCGCCGTTACAGCAGTGCACGTTTCTGTCTCTGCTCCCTGAACTCGCTGCACTTGATTTACACTCCCAGGCTTTAAGCTCCAGGCAGGCAGAGTTTGGGCCAGTGGATTTGTCCTACATAGCCCATGGTTTGAAAGAATAAACACAAGTCCCCCCCCAGCCTGCCTGTTCCTTCCGCTCATTTCTCCCCTGCCACAACTGGCCAATTTACCTTTGCTGTTCATCTAGCCCAGTATTTACAGCACCTGGAAGACCCAAAAACTGACTGAGGGAGAAAAGAGAAAAGCTACACTAAACTCGAACGCCTGATTATGCACAGCTTTATGCGAACAACGCCACCGCCACCTTGGAGAATAGGCCTGGAGGAGGGGTTGGAGAAAGCTTCACCGTGTAACAGCCCATACTTGGTTGTGAATTTGTTGTACAGTTATAACCGGGATTTCACAATCATTCCCTATTTTATGTGCAGAAAAAGGAATTATGAAAAAATACTGAACACCGTTTGTTTTCTGAGTTACAGTCTCTTTATTTGGTTAAGTGGTCTGAGTCAACAAAGTCATGCTCTCCTCAATTTCGGCGAGGTTCTTCAGCATCTGGCTCACCTTGGCCTCATCAAACTCCAGACAAAGAAACTCCGATTCCTACAAAACAAAAGTGCAAGAACAATAGTTGAGAAAGATGACAGCTTTTCAGGCGTATAACAGAGGGCGCACAGTGACTTCCAGTTTCCTGATGATTTGTGTCCCGCGTCTGCTTTTCTCCTGGTACTGCTTGAATAACCTCAGTAGGTCTGGAGGTTGGCTACACACCTACCAAGCGAGAGCAGTATGTGCTGGCAAGCCAGCCAGCGGCTGCCATAAAGGACATAGGCAGTCTAAGCCCTGCCCGCCTTTCCTTTCAACGTAGGCATCAGTTTGGGTCTCTGCTTAGCTGCAGGCTTTCGCTAAACTTGTAGAAATTTAATTATATCTGAGACTTCCACTTTTCTTTCCAATCTGGTGATCCCCAGAGCTGTTGCTGCAGACACTAGGAACTGCAAAGTGGCTGGGGGCACCGCGCAAAGCTTGTCAGATACAAAAACCAGACTTAATACAGGGGAAACAAGAATCCAGAACACAGTCTTGTACAGGACACTCCAGTCCAGAAGTTCAGGAGAGTTTTACATTTTCTTACACATGGGCTCTAGTGTCAATTTAAACTCAGAAGCAAGTTAAGAAGCAGCACTGATTTGCTCTGAAAAGTCCTGTCACATCTTAAAAAAATAGTTATTCTCTGATAAGATGGATATTGGGATAGTAAAAGGGTCTTGTCAAAGGCCCAGAAAATAAAGAAAAGATATTAAAAAAATAAAGAATATATATACGTGTGTGTGTGTATATATACATAAAGTTCAAATTATATGGAACTCATTAATAAACACCAGTGTGAAAAGGCCTCCTGAGATCTCCAGTCCATTAGCTTTACCTACCGGTATGTCTAGAGTTACAGAATGTTTCCTATAGTGATTGTGGCAGAACAAACATTTGAGACTGCCGGGAGCATGATTGTGTACTAAAGGTCGTTCCAGGTGAAGCACCATCAGTGATAGAGAAACAAATCGAAAATATTTGAAAATTAAAGTGCAGCCAGTACTGGGGGAGGGGTTTCCTTATGAGACATTGCAATAGTTTTAGCCATCAGAATCACTGTATATCCACTGAATTTCTGTATGTAACACAGACCCTGTGGTGCTTATACAAGCAAAAGGGCATCTCCAGGTCTCATCTGCTTTCTACCAGACTAAAATTTCTATCATTATTTCACAATACTTTTTTTCCATACAATTAGCATCTACCCAAACCACCACAACTTCTTCCTTTACATTTATGGAATTAATAGTTAATGCACAAGGATAAAATCATCGTGCAAATTAAACCCACCAATTTTTATGAAGTACATATTAGAACCGCTACAAACATTCTCCCCCAGGCTGCAGGAGTAGTTTTACCTTTCACCCTCTCCTGCTCTCCCAGGGATGCCTGGGTTGTTTCATTTTTTGTAAGAACCAAACCAGCAAGTGAGGTACACACCAAAATGCTGACAGAGACAGCAAGGGCTCATTCTGTGTGCAATTATCACGAAAGGCACTGCCAGAAGGACGCTAACAGGAAAGAAACGAGGAGCCAGAAGTCAGTGATCAGAAAGCCAAGCATGTCAAGCACATGGAAAGGTTATGCTGGGGCTTCTGCCCAGACATCAGTCACACAGGGAACTACCGCAGTTCAAGGCAGAAATCAAAATGGTGATTTAAACCTTAAAACTTGAAACCTTCTAAGAAGGAAGATGTCATACAATGAGAGCGGTGAGTACTTTAGACTTACCATAGCTACACTGGACAAGTCTGTCTTTGTGAAAGGTTTATTCTCTTATCTGCTAATGACCAAATCGGCCAACAGACCAAGGTGCAGAGATCAAGTTACGTATTTAGTATGTGGGTGCTGCTGATTAGAAAAGGTTTTGCAGAATTAAGGAGAACTTTGAATGAATGAACTATCAGTAAAGTTCAGTAGTAGTCATGCAACTAAATATATACTGTGTAGAACATACAGATGACTATTAGGAAAGGCCTTTGCCTGAGCAAGCAATTATGCTCATAAACAGCATCCTATTGAAAACTGTTACTGTAGGTTTGGGTTTTTTTTTTGAAATTTAATCATTCATTTCTACAATATTACTTAGTACATTCCAAAACATCACATAAGTAGCATTAAACATTCAGGATCAATAGCAACATAAAGTCTAGGACTTGGAAGCAAGGGCTTTCTCACACCGTTTTTCTTGTCCTTGACAATGGTTATCGACCCATCTTAAGGAAAATACCTCTGCAAAGCACAATTACAGCAAAGCATAATTACAGCTGGTCACTGTGCAGAAAGAAAATGTCTGGTGAGGAATTTGACAACTTAACTCCATTTGGCAGTGGGCTTTCTTGTCGTTTCCCGTCTGATTAGGAGCGCACTGAAAACAGTCTAGGCTGGATCTGCCTGAAGAAGAATTTGCAGGAGATTGCATAAGAAAGCCTGAATGAAACCCTGAGATATCTCTCCATGCATTCCTTGTTTAGGAAGCACTGGAAAAGTCAAATCTCAAGCAATCCGTGAGTTAACCCCTGAGGCTTTGTGAAGCATCGTGGTGAAAGCAGATCACAGACCCTTGCTGGAGTAAACCATTCTCCACTGAAATGAGCAGAAATGGCAGCGGCAGCCCAGCTGGTGCAACTGCTGCAAATCGGGACTGCAAAGCCAATGCCTCCTCACTCCCCCAGCTAAATCCCCCCAGTTTTAGCAACCTTGTTTTCCCAGACCTGAGGGGAAAAAAAGTTTTGAGCTCACTTTCACAGAAGGGCTACTGCAGAAGCTTTTCTCACCAACCTAAAATCATCCCAATCTCTGTAACACGTTACAAGTCTTGTTGCACAGACAACATCTGAAAACACGTCTTCTCTCTGTAACCTGACCTCTCTTTCCTCAACACTTGTGCCATGGCCACAGGCTGATTTCCATCTTGACCCTTTAGGGAACAAGCGGTGGTGCTGTGCTACGCAGCCCTCGGTCATGGTCCTCCACAGGACAAACTCCAAGGCCAAACTCCTGTTGACTTCTGTGGCCTTCCAGCCACAGGTGTGCACCCCAAGTCACCTGAGTGTATCAGGAGACCTCCCCAGGCCAGGGTGTGCAGCCTTTAAGCTCTGCATAAGCTGATTTTATGGCTTAATCACATGGTCAGTGTGAGTGGACAGGAGAAGACTGAAGCTCCCAGCTCTGGTGGAGATGTTTTTGCATGAGCTTAAGGCATAAGGAGGCTTTTTTTTTCCTCTTCAGGTTTTGTCAGTTAAAAGGAATGCAAATTGAGCAAAAGGACACTCTTGGATTACACTAAGTCTCTTCATGCCACTTTACAGAAGTATAAGTGTACTTATAAAGCATGCTTTTATCTGTAAAGCAGCTAAAATTTTCCTATGTGGATTGGACGGTATCTAAATTGTTAATCACACTTTCACGTGGACCAACCTAAAACATGACTGAGAGGGCTGTAAATCAGGCTGCTCAGAATTATGCTTTAGTTTTATTTAATGCTTCATTAGTTTATATCCTTCATAGAGGTCCAAAGAAGTAGAAAAAAGGAATAAAAAAGAAGATGGAGCTGTGAAATTAAAACTTCCCATTGCTCCTCTAACATGTCCTCCAGGAGCAGGACAAATCTGGTGTCTCTCTGCTCCTTCTCAGCAAGAAACAAGGCACCCCTTTTGATACTTCCTGTTGTTACAGAAATTTTCATCCACTTGGATCTCTTGTAGTTAAGCAAACCCAAAATGGAATGAGTCATTCATTAAAAATAAACCCAGAAGCTAACAAACAAGAACATCCACAGGCTACCAAACACTCGCTTAGCTGAAGCCACCACACACATGATGACGGCACCATGAGCCCTTTCACTGGACCGGGATCTGCTGTGGTGAATGTTTCATGCCCAAAGCGTGAGTAGCGGTGCCTCAAAGCCCTGAAGCACAGCACACTTGCCTCCCAGACCGGAATGCGGACTTCAGCTGAGCCCTTCACGGAAATGGATGTGATCTGTGGAAAAAGGTGCATGTACACGCATGAGCAGCGTTGTTAGAACACGTGCGTGTGCGATGGAAACAGCACATGCATCCCCACCTTCAGGTTGGAAAGCCAAGCTTGATGCTTTCACAAAGGTGTGGGAATGGACGTCCATGTCCTGTGACCGTCTTCGTTTTCTCCCACGCCTCCTTCCATTTCCCTCCTGAGCCTGGCCTATAAAACAAGCTGCTAAACAAACATCCAAGATACACAAACTCCACCCAGCCACGAATTAGGTCTTCTAGGTTTTTTTGCTTTTTCAGGAACAAGAGAGAGCTGCAAAAATATTTATATGAGAGACTAAGAGAAGCATGATTTTCTGTATCTCAGTAAACACTTAAAAACCCCCGTATTTTTAGAAAACCAATCCTCACACATTCAAAACTTTAAAAATTACAATTGTTCTCTATTGCATCAGTTTGACCAGCTACTTAAAATGGTTCCCAGCAACTTTGATACGTCTAGTATTTTTAAGTTTCAGCCATTACACTTCAAAAAACAAAAATAAACCCCTCTGAATTTATGTATCATTTTATTCATTCCCACTTGATTCAGAGACCTCCTACAACATTCAGCATTCAGGTAACCTGGCCACTGCTAGGACTGCAATGTAAGTGGGTGATAAATTTCCTTTGGATCCCGCAGCGTCTTCACTAAGGCTCGCTCCATGAGCTCAGGGTGGTGGCTTAGGGCACCTCCCGAGGCAGAAGTTAGGAACTGAGCTTTTTTAGCAAACGGTGGTTGCAAGGGAGACGCTGGTAGGGGGGCAATCAGTGGGGTGCCATGCCTCACGCTTGCTGGCCCAAGGACAGTGAAGGCTGCCACATGCAAGTATTTGCCTACCCAGGTGGAAACACCTCAGACAAAGCTCTGAGAGAGGTAAGGAGAACCCCCTGCCAAGCGGTGGAAACAAAAATTGCTCAGCAACTGAACAAAGATGCCAAGGTGTTGACGACAACCTGAAGAACTCACAACTCACGTGGGTTCAAGGGACCAGGGGC